TCTCTCAGATACTTCATATCTTCGGTAACCAAAGTAGCCTTGCTATTGAAAATGAACCTTTTTCATCAATACCAGGTTCATTTGATTCAATAGATTTTGTGTAGCAAGCCCCATAATTGTGTATACGATAAAAAGCACCAAGTGAATAATCGATGAGCTTTTCGTCACCAAACTTAGATAATTGAGCTTGTCGCAAAACCTGATAGGATTCATCAGCATGATACTGAATAAAAAAGCAAAAATTATAATCGATTTTGAAGAGCGAGAAAATAAATCTATTAGTTACCTCATTTATACTTGTAACTTTTGCGCCATAATCATCTATTTCAGCAGCTATGAAATGAATTTTGACCGTGTTGAGTTCAGGGAAGGCAACATTTCCATTTAGGTATACTGGGCAACCAAATCCTGGTGTAACCTTAGAATAACAATATCAATATTGAATAACGAATCAATTGACTATCAAAGCGATAAACTTACCTGAACTAGTTTATCCAATTCTTGTTCAGTTTGCGATTGTAAATAAATGTCTAAGATGAGAGTCTCAGCTTCTCCTTCAACTAAAGTATCAGGATTGTGACCAGTGAATACAATTTGACTTGGCTGTTGAATGCCATTCATTTGGTTAAGATTATCTAATTGTTTAAAAATAACAAAACCAATCAACTATTATTAGTAATAATAATATTGATTATATTATTAATAATATAATCAATGACATGACAAACAATGAAAGACTTACCTTTATAATATAAAGTTATATTGAGTTTACCATCCAAATCGGTTGAGACGCTGTGCATAGATAAACCTCGGATAATTTCATCGTTACCATTTGCCTGTTCATGTAATTTTATGTTTTGATTATTTCATTAAAATGTCTTGGTTATTCAAAATAAATGTCTCTATTAATTACCCAATCAAATCCATCGAAACGATCCAAGACCGATGGACCCAAAAGCACCCCTAAGGTTAGTTAAAGGTTTATTTCCCCCAGGCAATAAGTTCTTCCACTTCAAATCATAATTATAAAGATCGCATTCATTGTCTAGTTCAAAAATAAAATTAAGCTTCAATACCAACTATTACGATTAACTAGTATTACTAACATAACAATTAAATTTTTATAAACCAACAAGACTTACCGTGAATAACGAGACGTTTCTTGTTATCCATTGAGTTTTTGTACGAATAAAAGACATTGACGCCATTTTCATCTGTTTTTATTTCGATTCTTCCAGCCCTTGGACTTCCTGAGTAAACCCATTCTTGCATTTGCCAAACACGACCAGTATCCTTAATTGATAGTTAATAAATATTATAAATCAAATGTAACTTTAATTACAATTGAATTGAACTAACCTTGTCCGTTAAAGATGCACGAATGATCCTATTGGTATTACTATGGCCTGTAACTCTTGATCCCACCAAGGATGCTTTAAATTTAAAGACAAGTTGGTTAATCAATAATTAATTAAACAGTATTTTAATTAATTCAATTTAATACTTACTGCAGTTGATGATTGAACAATTTAAAAGCAGGAAAAGTATAAAGCATAACATCTTGAAAAGAAATATTTGATTCCTCATTTTCAATGTTCAACTCAAAAATGCTTTCCTTTTCTGACTTGTTTCTGGAATTTTATAACACCTTAAATTATCGACTGTGAGAATTAATTCTCATGCATTTATTCAACCGCCCAAACAATCTTATCATTTTTCAATATCAATCATTGTTTAGTTTCTAGGAGCTGTTAGATCGATCGTTGATTAACATGATCAAAATTAACTTGTTTATTGATTCCACAAGATCAAGTGCAAACCTTAATATTAAATACAAATCTCGACCAAACTAAACATTCCGTGCAAATTTTTGTCTCATATTTCTTTGTCTACATTCACCATATCGATCGTAATCGAGACATTCTTTTGATTTAACTATGATTATCATATAAACTAAACATTTCATAAATAATCATGTGTTGGGTGCCTTCACTTCAAGACAACATTTTTGAAATCATTTCAGTGTATGTGTGTTTGTTGTCCATACTGAAAACACCACTGAACTCATTGGATATTATAGCTTTATATTTATTAAGAATATCTGTCATTGCTTTTTCTCTTCATTCAAATCTCTTTTTTAATTCAGTTTTAGTTTTTTCTGCCTTCCTGCCTTTCTTTGCCTCTGAAAATGAATCAATCTTAGATTTCAAATTAATTTCAGATACTAAAAATACAATGTACTAACACAATCTTCTGAAGCATAACATTTCGAACCATGGCAGTCATCAATAGGAATTCCGTTGAACACCGTAGTTGGATGCTTGTATTTCAAATGGAGTCGAACAGTATAGTCCGACAAGTGATTCTTCGAATACATGACACCAAATTTCTTCGCTATCTCGATTTGTCTCTACAAATATTGAATAAAATAAAAGAAACCAGCATTAAATGCTATTCAAAAATTACCATTACTCAAAACATTACAACTTCTCACCACTTTATCATATGTAACATCATTTATTGCGCGACTGTTGCCAGTGGATTCCCGAACGTGAACATCATAACCAGATCTGTGTTTCTGTTAAAACACAATTGGTCATTATTCAGTTAATGAACGATTGGTTAAACTTATTACCTCTCCAAAGTTACAATGTCTTCGATAACTAAGTTTTGCTATGAAAATACTTTGGTCATCGATGACATTGTAATAATTATGAAATTGAAAATGTAAACCAATTTCATCAATACTAGGTGCTCATGAATTAATTAATGATGCATAGCAGCCACCAGAACTCGATATAAGATAAAGAGTATCAAGAAGATAATCGAAGAGCATTTCCCTTTTGAATCCATATTTCAGTTCTGATTGTCTCAAAATTTAAATATTAACCTCATATCATAAATCTACCTAGTTACCTCATTTTTAACTTTCCCACCATTATGAACTGGTTCAGCAGCTATGAAATTTCATCACTCTTTATAATTGTTTGTTAAGACCAGTAGGCAAGTTTTGAATGCAAAAAACATTCACTAATTTTCAATTTCTGTTTAATCGTTGAATTTTCAATTTTTATCCATAGCTTCTATCATGTTTACAAGGCATGAATCCTCGGGATTGCTCAATGTCTAAAGAACTGTTCATTTTTCTGATTTTCATGATTTAACTGACAATCTATTGACACAAAGATGTCATCATTTCAGCACCAAAGATAATGGCAGAACCCATGAGAAACTCACATAGCAAAGCGTAGATCTTTTATTATACTAAAAATAATTTTCCAGTTAATTCTGATTTAATCAGCTGTTAGCGATTATTTTCTTGAAACCTTGAAAGCTTAGAGGATAAAAAATTTATGTAAAAGATCCAGATTACGATGAAAATGTTATCGATTTGTCATACAACTTTCAAACCAGTTCAGCATCCTGATTCAATTCATCAACAAAATGAAATCCTTAGTAGTTTCATCTCTTGTTTTGTACCTCGGTAGTTAAGGTGCGACCTAAAAAGTTTGCAACCCAACGGGTTTTTAGTCATAGCTCCTCTTAAACTAGACACTTTGGCATCATTTTTTATATATTACAGGATCAGTTGCAATATAAGGAACATTTGATATATTTTTTGTATGCATTGATCCAGTATCAAAATCCAGAAAATGGACCCTTAAACATTTGATTAAACGGAGATCGATTTTTTTGACTAGTCTTCTGCCCTTTCTTTGTATCAGTGTGTAAAAACTCTGATGGCCTTTAGAAATTTCAGAATTCAGTGTTTATCTGGCAAACAAAAGACTCAGGAACGATGAAGGAATAACAAATTATGAAAATTCTGGTCGAAAGGCCAAAAAAATGGATTCGAAAAATTTGGCGCGTTTTTCAAAATTGCCGACGGCTGAACTCGATTTCAGTGGACTTTAGCCTGAAAATTTTATATGAGTCTGTCTAATTGACAATATTTATCGAAAAAGAACAACATAAAAGCATTCAAATAACGGTATAAGCCCAAATCAACGAACAATAAGAGAGGTTGCAAACTTTTTAGGTCGCACCTTAATAAAGGTATCGCACCCAAACCAGCCACTAACTTATACCAGATTTCACTTAAGGAGTCGAAATTGAATGATCAAAGCGAGCTATCCAATTTCCATCATTACAAGATACCATAGATGCTTTAGATAGCAATAATATACCTAAAGCAGTCGCAAATGTCTTTTTTAAGGCCACTTATCTTGTTTCACGCTTGGAATAAACTTGCCCATTGAATTTTGCATTGACCTTTTGCTTTATCCGAAGCAACTATTCCTTTCAAATCTTAAATAGCAAATGCTATGTGTTGATTCACTTATTT